GTAGTACAAATTTGTATGGATATCCGCATGCAATAGACTTATTTCATATGTATGTATATGCTGAGCTAGATATGCATATGAATGTGCCATATGAAGCTATAGGTCATTCACAGTGATTTTGTGGGTGAAGCCATTTACATATTCGTAAATATACATTCATACATAAGTATTGTGAAAGCTTTTTTTTTTGTATTTTCTACTGTTCTTAGTCAACTGTCTTGAGTATATGTATGTAGGTGTGTCTATATCTGTATAGGTATGCCTGTTTTGTGTGTTCATATACACATATTCTTGTCAGTCAATAATTTTTTTAAAAGACTTAATGGTTCTAATTCAGAATACGCGTGCAAATATCCAAACATACGTACACACTTACATAAACTCATAATGAGTCGACACAAATAACGGCGTAGATGATAAATTATGATCTCGTTTGCTATGTGAGAATTATGAGCATTGGAATAACTCGTAATGTAATTATCTTTTTATGTTATTAAAAAATAAAAAACAATAAAATAAAATTATGGAAATAAGTTTAAGACATACCACTGTTATCTATGCTCTATATAAATTTATATAAGATCACACCAATAGTAAAAGGTGTAGTAAAAAGAGGACCATTATTTTTGTATTGAATTGAAGGTTTTATATGCAATTTTATGCTGTTCTTAAGGTAATTTCATAATGCGACTCTAATAAAAACCCCCGTTGCTTTTGGCAAAAAATTGGGTGTTGATTTTCACACATTTTTTTTAGGCTTCTTTTCTGACATGCTTCTATTGATGTGTGTGGTCTGACGCTGCCTTGGTGGGATACATTTTCACTCCTATTGGCCAAAGCTGGCCACTTCTGGGCGATTGCCTCTTTATAACGGTCCAAGTATTGACAGTACAGGTCCCAATTAAGAGCTTAGCCGTAGGGGCGCAGCTCATGTTAGAAAAAACACATAATAAAACTCTCCTGAACATCAATCCACCTTTTGCGGCGGCTCACCACGATTCGACTTCGACCACCTTTCATCACCAGTAAGCATTTGTTTCAAAAATTTTTGATAGATAGAAATTCGGTTAATAAGGTTAACAGATGTGACACCCATACATCGAGCTTATTTTTGTATCCAGTCTTTTTTAAATGGTTTCGAACGGTTTTTGTGCCATGCTTAGCTCCTTGGGCAATCGAAACCGTGCTTACATACTAATAGTCAGACTTGACGATTTCCATTAATCAAATGACAATTGACCTTTAAGAGCGTGGTTCTTCTCTTTAATATTAAAATTACCGGAACGGAATTGATGAAACCGAGATTGCCCGTGATTGTCTGTTACAGTATCAGGACCATAAATATTATTCTCATTTTCAGCCGTTTGGCTTGCATTTTCGCCTTTATCGAAGAAAAACAGTAAAAACCGGCATATTTTCTTTTTGCTAGTGGCCATCTATTGCTCTAACAATACTGAGTCGAGCAATCAAATAACTGTATGAGATTTTTTAGTACGATATAAAGAATATTAAAGCCTCTTCTTCTCCTTTTCTAGACCTATTATATAATTACATAGATTTCTGCTTTAAAATTTTTTATAATAATTTACATTTTACATTTTATTTTATAGCTATATGTTATATTCTTATATATATATAAGTATAAGATCATTGATCTGCAAGTATGTGTATACAATTTGTATACACTCATATGTATGTATGTAAGTACATTCCTCATTTATCAGTTGGCATGTATCCATTAAAATTGAGCGTACATTATGATTTGCACTTTTTGGCAATACTTTTAAATTCTTTTACTTTTATTTGATTTAATTTTGTTTGTTTTTATTTGCTAATTTTTGTTTTTATTTTAATTATTTTATTTTTAACTTACACTTACTCGCCGTTTTCTTTGTTAGCTTACTATTTCTTTGTTATACTCGCAACCTGTTGCTACAGAGTATAATAGTTTTGTTCACCTAACGGTTGTTTGTATCACCTAAAACTAATCGAGTTAGATATAAGGTTATATATATATAAATGATCAGGATGAAGAGACGAGTTGAAATCCGGGTGACTGTCTGTCCGTCGTCGTCTGTCCGTCCGTCTGTCCGTCCGTCTGTCCGTCCGTCCGTGCAAGCTCTAACTTGAGTAAAATTGAGATATCTTTATGAAACTTGGTAGACATGTTTCATGGTACCGTGAACGGTTGGTATTGCAGATGGGGTATCGACCACTGCCACGCCCACAAAACGCCATTAATCAAAAACAAATAACTTGCCATAACTAAGCTCCGCAATAAGATACAAGACTGTTATTTGGTATACAGGATCACATTAGGAGGGGCATCTGCAGTTAAATTTTTTTAAAGTGGGCGTGGTCCCGCCTCTAATAGGTTTAATGTGCATATCTCCTAAACCGCTAATTCTATAATAACAAAATTCACTGGAAGCAAATGTTTTTAGCACTTCTATTGACGGTGTGAAAATAGTTGAAATCGGGTGGCAACTCCGCCCACTCCCATATAACGGTACTGTTAAAAACTACTAAAAGCGCGATAAATCAAGCACTAAACACGCCAGAGACATTAAATTTTATCTCTGGGATGGTATGAGATGACTTATAGGAACCGCGTTCAAAATTAGACAGTGGGCGTGCACAGCCCACTTTTAGGTGAAAACCCATATCTTGAGATCTGCTTAACCGATTTCAACCAAATTCGGTGCATAACGTCTTTTCATGTTTCTATGTCACAGTGCAAAAAGGGGCGAAATCGGACTACAACCACGCCTACTTTCCATATAACACCATTTTAAATTCCATCTGATTATTTCACTTTCCACTATGCAAATCAGGCAACAATGACTGTATCGGGATAAAAGTTTGCGTGAATAATGCGATTAAAGTATGCCACCTTGTGGCCAAAAATTGTCTAAATCGAACCAAAACTGTTTAAGCCCCTAAGTACTAAATATGTGGACCCCAGTGCCTATAGTTGACCTTCTACCGAAAATATCAGCCAATCCACAAAGAAATCTCAAACGAGTATACTATTTGACTTTGCGAGAGTATAAAATGTTCGGTTACATCCGAACTTAGCCCTTCCTTACTTGTTTATTTTGCTTTTATGCAGCCATTTAATTTATTTAGCGGCCACCTCTGCTTCGGTACGCATTTCACACGCTTCCTTAATTATAAATTTATATACATACATATGTATATAAGTATAAATATAATTTGTGAAATATACTATATACAATACATATATGTAGATATATGTTAGTGCGTGTGGTATCACGACTATTTTGTTTACAATGCCGTTGTTTTTATTATCACCGAATTTATTTATTTCAGAAAAGAAAATCTGATCTACATATACATACATACATGTATATACATATGTAAATGTGTATGTGCGTTCTTATAAACAGTCAAAAAAGTGATAACAAAGAAAATTCACGTGTTTAGGTTTATAGGCATATCACCAAGATATAAAAAATAGACAAATTAAATATCATCCGTGCCTATTGCAAATTCGTAACATTGACACGCCCACAAAAATCTATTATCAAATAAAAAAGAAAAATATATAAATAAAATACCTCGATTATGAAGGCAAATCGGCGACGCACCTCAAATTTGTACACAATTAAAACAAGAAAAAACGTAACTTCGGTTGCGCCGAAGCTATAATACCCTTCAGAAATAAAAAGGCCCCTTACAAGAACTTGATTCTGAACGTTCAATTTGTATGGCAGCTATATGCTATAGTGATCCGATCTATACAATTTCTTCGAGGATTGGATTAATGCCTTAAATAATAATACATGCCAAATTTCGTGAAGATACCTCGTCAAATGAAAGAGTTTTACATACAAACACTTGATTCCGATTGTTTAGTTTGTATAGCAGCTATATGCTATAGTAGTCCGATATCGGCCGTTCCTACAAATGAGCAGCTTCTTTGTTAGAAAAGGACAGGTGCAAAATTTCAGATCGATAGCATAAAAACTGAGGGACTAGTTTGTATATATACAGACAGACGGACAGATGGACAGACAGACAGACGGACGTGGCTAAATCAACTCAGCTCATCATGCTGATTATTTATGTATACAAGTATATTTTATAGGGTCTCCGACGTTTCCTTCTGGGTGTTACAAACTTCGTGGTAAACTTAATATACTCTGTTCAGGGTATAAAAAGTTTACACACAAGAACTTAACTTATGAGTTGTATAGGTCCGTTTGTATGATAGTTGTTAGTTAGTGAACTGAACAACATGTGAGGAGATTGTTGCGTTGCTTTAGACAATAATCCTTGCCAAACTTCGTAAAGGTATCTCGCCAAATAAAAAAGTTTTCCATAAAAGAATTTGAATTAAAAAATTATTTGGAGATTTTACCGTTGCCTTCGATAACAATCTATGCCAAATTTCATACAAGAACTAGATTTTGATCTATCTATATGCTATAGTGGTTTCAACAAATGAGCAGTTTCTTGGAAAGAAAAGATCAAATCGAAGTATCTAAAACTGAAAGACTAGCTCGCGTATATATAGACGGACTAAATCTATTCAGCTCGTGACGCTGATCAATTATTTATATATAGATATGTTTTATTGGGTCTCCAACGTTTTATGGAAAAGAGTGGATGGGGGCTTCCAACATTCGAAATATTAAAAGATGATTTTAATTTTTTTAGAAAGATTATGCAAAGTATTTCTATATATACTTTATAGAAATCTAGATCTTCTCTCCTTATGTTGCGTTGATACGTCCATACACACATGATTTTTTGTTTTCAGTACTTAATTTTTTCTTTAAATCTCTTATGCTACTCTTCCGTATGAACGATTTTTTATTGCCGAAATACATATTTAAAAATTTAATATTTTAGTATATCTCTCAGTCGAATTTATAATTTTGTTTTAAGTATTAGGTATTATCATTATTAATTATTAATAATACATTAATTTTGTTGATTTTAAAATATTTTAATTGCATATTTATATTATTTAGATGGGTTCGATCGTAAATCGGAGGGCGAATTATCTTTTTCGCGCCATTCAAGCTTTGAAGGTAGTTGCCGAACCCTTTTCATTTTTGTTGAACAGTGCTCCCTTTACACCAAAACATGTAACTCATAGAAACATTAAAAAAGTAATAAGAAAATAAGTGGGTAATTAACCTTTGTTATGTAATGCAATACAGTGTTGCATTTTGCACCAGAAGTCGCTTGTTATTCATGAAACTTGAATTCAAAAATATACAAAAATTAATGCACTCACAATATTCGAACATCTCCACCTACAAATCGATCAAAAATACCAAATGAAATGTTCGAATCTTTCCACCACACTGCACCACCCCTGTTGAAAGCCGTTTTTTTTTTTATTTTCATCATTTTTTTTTTTATCTTTATCAATTTCCTTGCACGAATCGCTTATACTCATGTTCGCTCATTATGCACATTATTTTGCACAGATGATGAGTCTTCGCATGGCGTCCACATCACCAAAATGGGCAGCGAAGATGTCCACTTCCATGTACAACACGAACACGGCACTGGCGGACATTGGTGCGCGAAGATCTTCTTCTTTTCACTTTTAGCCATACTATTTGGTCTCGTTGGCTTGATAATATTGGAGCATCGCGGCATATCCGATTGTAAGTACTTAATGAACCTTTTTTTTATAGAAAATATAATAAAAACTACATTACATTTCAGTGGACACACCGCTATCAGAGTCACGTTTCTCGAATTATTTCGATGGTTGGGTGGATGAAAGTCGGCAAGAGCATGACGATCACGATCCCGTGCAGGCGTCAATAGAAGAACATGACGAGCATGACGAACCATTTGAAGAGGAGGAAGATCACTCTGAATTGGATGAAGATGCCGACGAAAAGCATGATGAAGAGGATGATGATGATGATGAGCATGATGTGGAAGAAGAAGATGCCACCACGGAACAAACAAAAGAGGAAGAAGAGGATGAAGATAATGATGAAAAAGATGAAGATAACGATAATGATGATGAAGACGATGAAGAAGATACAACCGCAGAGGCTACAGTAGAACAAAGTAATGAAGAAGAAGATAATGAAGATGATAATGATGTTGACAATGATAATACAAATAACGAGGACGATGATGATGATGAAGATGAGAATGTAACACAAGAAGTAACAAAGGAAGAAGAAGAGAACGATGAAGCAGATGATAATGATGAGGAAAATAAAGATGAGAAAACCGCCGAATTTAGTCAAGAAGCCAATGACGATGATGATAATGATAATGATAATGAAGTCGACGAAAATAATAGCAATGCTGATGCGGCCGACAATGATGATGATGACGACGCTGATAATGATGATGATGATAATAGCGTCGAACCCATCTATGAACGCTCCACTCAACAAACCAGTCAACTTTCAACCGGCAATAGCGCAGCTGCCGTTGATGATGATGATGATGCTTTTGATGAGGTACTTTTATTAAGCTTGCTATTTTTTTCTATATTGATGTACAATAATGTAAAGATAATTTTGCAGGAAGATGATGATGATGATGTGACCAACGACTCAGTAGAGAATGTTGTCGATAATGATGCAGAGGAGCTTTTGTTGTTACAACAAAAAGCGCGCCAACAAGCCGCGGAGGCAGCAAAGAATGCACCAAACTCTGCGGAGAAGGATGATAAAGACGACTCAGCTGAAGCGGTGCCATCTTGGGCCTCTTCTCGTAAGTAAAAAAATATTGAAGGGGTCAAATTAGACTGAGCGTGGGGGTGAAGTATGTAATTATGCTGCAGAGTTAGAAACAAAGTGTTTGTATATTTGCAAATCAGTGCATATTTGATTTCTGTATTAAACTAAAATCGTTCCTTTAATGAAGAAGTTCCAGGCTTAAGTGTGTTTTCGTGCAATCAGTTGAAAGAAATAAAGATAATTATTATAAAATTTAGAATATGCACCATTTATGTATATATTTGTTTATAAATTTCTATTCCTACTGTGCACACATACATATATATGTATTGCTGTTTTTAAATAGATACAATGTATTTTAAAAGTTGTTGTTTTGTTTTTGAAAATGTACAAGAAAGTGCAAATACCTCTCATATACAAATCATCCACCACTGTTGTTGCACTCATAATTTGTTATCTATACTATAACAAACTTCTTATTTTCTTATATATAACTTATAATAATATTTTTTTTAAATAGTGCTCATAATCGAAATAAAGTGGTTTTAAGGTTAAATTTGATAAAAATTTTTATATTCGAAACTTCTTTATTTCGCATATGACTAGTTCAAGTGTAATTAAAATATTTCAGAATATCGAAATAATTCGTCTAAATCATTTCCTATACTACATATATACATATATATAATTTTACAGTTGCGGTTAAAATTGGCGTCGGTGTGGCACTCGCGCTTGTTGCACGCCTTGTATTGATTAGGAATAATCCAAATACAAGTGAGTTGAACAATTTCAAAACAAAAGTGTTGAATTTTGAACTTAACAAAGTAAAATTAGTTAATTCAAGCTTATTAGTGCTGCTTTTACGTTTTACGTTAATCCAAATTTGGTGCCAATAAACCTCAAGCCAAAAAAAAACTTAAACTCTTTGTTCTTTTAATTATCTGTTGTGAATTTTAACTACAAAATATTTTTTTTCTGAAACTTGATGTCAGCATGGCTTAACTCATTTTTAACCCTAAAGAAAGTATTGATCGAAATTTTCTCCTAACAAACAACGTTATTTGCACTTTCTTTTAGGATTCTTAATTTATTGTTATACCATATTTGTACAAAATAATTTCAGCTGTATTCTCTTGAATTATAATTGATTGTCATTGTAAATGTGTTTTTCTTTTCTTTTATTTTATATTTTAGTCATTGAAATGTTTAAGATTTTATACGCATATTATATTTTGCGCCATTGTATGTATGCTGCAATATTGGCATTTTTATTGTGATTTTAATTATAAGTTTGTTGTGTAATATTTCTTAATTTTTTGACTAAATATTATATATTTTTACAAAAAAACAAATTGAAAATATTAACGCCGACATAGTTGAGGAACCTGCACCAGAGGTGATAATGAAACGTCGTCTAACAATTGCAACTGCGGAAGACACCTACGACAACGATGAGGAGGAGCCACCACTGCCAGATGATGGTTAAATTCATTATTAATAAATACTTGAATAAATATGCATAGCTTTGTTGAAATGAGTCGAGGTTAAGTCGGAGGCTAAGATAAATGTTTAAAGTAAAAAAATAGTAAAATATAGAGACAGATAAACTACTATTGAAATTTAAACTGCATAATAAGTTTTATCATATTGCGGCATTTTTTTTTGAGTTACTGTTGATATTTAAAAAAAAATTTTTTTGAGGTTAGAATAAATAGCTTCATCATATAATAATGATTTTGAAATTATTAAATGCTTGATTTTTTATTTTTCTATCAAAAATTTTAATTATGTCTCTTTTATTAAAATTTTAAGTTTTGCGGAATCAAAATATAATAATACTTTTTTTCAAGATATTGTCTTAATGTTTTTTTTTTGAGGTTACAATGAATATATTCTTCATAAAATATTGAATCTTTGGATGAATAAGTTATCATATAGAAACTTCCTTGAAAACGCTTGATTATTGTGCTGTAAAAATTTTAATTTTGTTTCTATTTGTAAGATCTTATGGTTTGCGGTATTCGAAAAAATTACTGCTCAATTATTAGAAGCTTTAAAATCAGGGTAGGAGACATAAATGATGAATGCTAGCTACACAAAATGGTATCTAGTTCAAAAAAGATTTATTTATATATTAAAATTTCGTGCTTCTCCTTTATATTTTTTGACTTCTTATAATTGCCTCAATCGCTTTATTTGAGACCTCAGCTCATTTCGTAAGCTTATCATATTTGTTTGATAATTTCGTTACAAATGGATTTTTATTGACACCAAAAGGCGAATACTCTGAAGAAGAAATCGAAATCGAAGAGGAATACGAATACGAAGAAGACGAAGAAATAGAATTACCGGAAGATCCCGACGACAATTTATCAGCCTTGGCAGGCGAATATATTCCCGAAACGTTTGAGCAATTAAATAGCCTTTATCGTTCTCGGCTAAGCGAGCCCGAATCGGCTCATACGAGCTCAATACCTGAGCATGTTGAAAAAGTGAGAGAACAACGATTTGTGGCGAAGAAATCACCAGCAGTATTCACCGCACCACCACCACCAGCAACTACTACTGATATATCATTCAAGAAGGTATCACCATTTACAACGACAGCGACAACAACAAGAACAGCACAAACATTTACGCCAAATTTAGGTCAAACACAATCACAAACAACAACAAGTACGAAAGACGAAACCATAAAACCACAGCAAAACTTCAATACCACTACAACAAAAACAACAACAGCTGCTGATCTATACTCACCAAAAAGCAACACCAAACAATACATACCGGATTCACCAAAAACGACAAAAGCCGAAGTTACACACGATTTGGATTATCAACCCGACGAAGAAGATATTGATTATGATGATGATGATGGTGTTGATAATGATGGTGTGGGTGACGCATACACGCGCGATATATTAGAAGATACAGACGAAGAGGATGAGGAGGAGGAAGAGGATGAAGAAGATATCGATGATGATTTATTGGATGATGAGGATATTTCCGATGTCGACGACACTGAACTCATGAATAGATTGGAGGCCAAGTATGGACGTTTGCCGGCAAAAGAATACGAGAGTGATGAAGATCCCGACGATCCAACATGGACACGTAATTTCTAATACTAATTACTGCTTAATTGGCATTACTACCGTCGTGTTGCATATATGTATACTTGTATGTAAAAATTAAATGCATACTTAATACATACTCACATACATACCCAACCGTCCACTGATTGGCACTTATGTAATTGCATACGTTTTTTATATACTCATGATTTCTTAATTATCTATATAATGCATACTTCACCATTTAAAAATTCTCCAAACCGCAAATACTTACATATACATGTTTAAAAAAGCAACAACATCATTATCACCATCATCATCATCCCAGCTGACTACAATCGGTTGGCTACAAGCAATCAAAGCAATTACTTTTGGTACGAATTACATACTTACATAGTAACATAAGGTTTTGCCAATGTTATAATGACTCAATAATTAGCGGATAGTAAGTGTTGAAAAATTAGTGATTAAGAAAATTATATTTTACACATGTTCAAAAATATGAGTATTTGGGTGGAGCGCAGTGACGTTTCTTTACTACCGAATTACATTTAATTTAAATTCTAAAGTCATACAAAATTTGGAACTTTTCTTTTACATACTCATATAAATAAATTTTTGTACTTCACAAATATAACCTAACTTTTTGAAATATTAATTTTCTTTATTTTTCTTTTTTAATAACAAGAAATCAAACCAAAGGAAGAATTAGGTGGTGGACCCCAAGCTCAGAACGATGATTTCGGCTCGTTTGAACATGAGTTGCGCCGAGCAAACGAAGATATAATGCGAGAGGTAAGTAAATTCTATTGAGTTTATAATTAAATTCGTGTGATTTTTTCAAAATTTAAACGTTTATTTAAGAAAAACATGTACAATAGTATTTTTCAAAGTATTGTGCATCTGAAGCTATTGCATTTTCTCATACTTCCGAAAACTTGGTGGATTCCAACCCACAAGAACTGCGCGGGCTTGGCGGGCAAGAATGAATCTAGCCAATTTATTCTGTTCTAGATGTGAACCGTTTGTCAGTGAGAGCGTTCTGCATCGACCGAACCAAATGGTATTCGGAAGGGGATAGGTTTGGGCTATAAAGTGGTGAGGCTAAACATACCAGCCGCAGTTTCCCGATTTAATCCCAGATACTTTTTAACCGATCTTACAACATAAGATCGGGTATTGTCAGGATGGAAAATTGTTGTATCGTATCTAGTGCAATTTCGCTCGATCCAATTTGATGAATTGTTGTTGGTAACGTTCCCCATTAATTGTTTCAGCCAGTTTCAGAAGCTCATAATGCAATACGCCGCTGATCCCATCAAATAAAGAGCATTACCTTGTTGTTATTGGTATACGGCTGTGCCGTTGATTGGGCTGGTTGGTCAGGTTTTACATATAATTTTTTGCATTTAGGGTTGTCGTAGTGGATCCATATTTCATCATTAGTTACAATCCGATGCAAAAACCGACTGCCTTTTGTAGCGTTTAAGCATCATTTCTGACAAGCAAACTCATTTTTCAACGAGTCTTGGCTTCAATTCACATGATACCCAATTTCCTTGGTTTTGAATGTATCCGGCTGCTTATACACGTTTTTAAACGGTTGTGTGAGTGACTCTTAAAGATTCTTCTTGTATTTGGCATTAATATTTATCGAGTAATCCTTTTAGTTTCTCATCTTCAAACTTTTTTGTCCGCCCACGACGATGTTCACCTTCCAAGCCAAAATCACCAATTGTAAATCGTGCAAACCACTTTTAGCACAAGCGCACAGCTAATGTACATATGTTCACTATAAACTTTCACAACAATACGATGACTTTCGGTTTATTATAATAAGCCGATATCATATTAAAATAATGAAGTTAAAGATTTTTAGGCACAATGTTCGATACATTTAAATGAAAATAAAAAAATTATTGTTGTTAACGCTTCAAATGAATAGTATAGGTAGCTATGTAGAGTGGATCTCTGGCGATGCACCTAGGCCTTTACGACATCTCTTGGCAAACCGCACGAATATAGTTATAGACCGAATATTGTCAAGCTTTTTTTAACTTTAAATTTTAAAATTTAAAACTTTTTTTTTGGAAAATTATCGTTTAGAATTAAAAATTTTTATCAGTTTAGTAATTGGTATCGAATAAATGAAAATAAATATTTTTCTTAAAACCTTTTTACATATTTTACTTTCTATTCTCACAGTTCTCATATCAATAAAAGTAAATACTTGTAATTGCATAAAATTACATACAAACAACATCCCCACCTTCCTGCGCATAGCTTTTAATGCGTACGCTTTAATTAAAAAATGCTAGTCTGTAGATTTTAAGAAAAAAAAATGTAACTTTTCTATTAATTGAATAAAAAATACGCAAAACAATGTTTGATTTCATAAATAACTTGAAGTAAATGTTTACCTTAATATACTAAAAGCTTAATATACTAACTGATAAAAGATAAACAAAGGAGTTCAATTAAAAAAATAATTTTCTTTAGCATTTATTTTAAAATATGAAATGGTAAAGATTATTAAATGCATCGTTAACTCTAATTGGCTGCTTAAATAGTAAAAAATTAATAAAAAAAAGAATAATATTACAATATGTAAAACATTTACGCATTTCTGCTGACTCACAGCGCCAAACAATCAGAGCGCAACAATTTAATTTGCTAGAATTGCATTACTCAATTACAATTAACTTATTGCTTAACTGCGCCGACGACGCCAGCGGGTGCGCTCATCACCCACTTAATGCGCGGCCGCCGGGTCACGGTTGACCAATTAAGCGATGACTTTAATTGCAATCGATGCCACTTCACGCACACACTAACTTACTAACATACACACACACACGTTCAAGTATTTTGCGAATGCACACGCGCTAACTGTTTATTTGCTTTTGTAATTGTAATTGCATGCCATGTTCTTACTAAAATTGCGTTTTCTTGTTATTGTTGTAATTGTTTATTTCCCAATGCTGCTGCTAACTGCATTTGCTGTTGTCGAACTCGCTGTTGACACAACTCCTTCCGCGCAACATATGTGCGCCAACACACACACACACACACACCTGTACACGCGTTCATGCTGGTTGCGCACGCAAAAGAATTACGCGCTCGCCGATAAACGTTTCGCTGAACTCGTGCAGCGATTTCCCGATCGGCCAGAAGTATTTCTCGCACAAGCAAGGTTGCTCGATAAGCTGTCGGAGCAGCAGCGTAGCAATAGCGTGCTGAATCAAGCTATACAGGCGTACAAGCGTTACTTAGCGCTGGGCGAATTCATCACCGATCATGAGCAATTTCGAAAGGCCGCTGAGCGCTGCATCGAGCGTATACGCTTCATGGGTAAACTCGATTGGCTGTAGGAGCTGAAATGTTGTACGGCTCATGGTTACTGTTGCTAATCAACTCTGCTGCTTGCAGGTCATCACATGCAGGCGGTGCCCATACATCAGCAATTGATCGCGCGCTTTACGAATAAACCAGATGTGATGAATCAACTGGCCATCACCTACCTGCTGCAGAACCGGTGAGTGTTTCCCACATAATTTTGCGTATAGTAAATCTTTACAGTTGTTGTAAACTCGCGTTTACATGCAGTTTATCTGATGCCAAGCTGGTGCTACAGGAAGTACTGCGTCGTTGGCCCAAGGATGGGTTTGCGCAGGTGCACTATGGTTTTGTTTTGCGTCAGCTGGATAAAGATTATGAGAATGCTGTTATTTATTTGCGTGAGGGCATCAAATCGAAAGCGCCGGGCACTCAGGATGGCCGTTTCTATTTTAATCTTGGCGATTCGTTGCAACGTCTGGGTCGCCAAGCGGAAGCTGTTGAAGTGTATAAACGCGCCGCTGCTCTGAAGCTGTTTCCCTCCGTCTATCAGCGTTCATTGTACAATGAACCCGATTTGCGTGCAAAACCCTACTGGACCAAGGAGGAAACTACTTATGTTAAATACCTTAACAAATTGGAACTCAATTGGCAGGCGATACGTGATGAAGCGTTAAGCTTGTTGAGTAGGCGTGGCAATTATCTCGACGAAGCTGAAAGTTTGCGTGATACTGGTAATTGGCAGCAATTCGAGTTGTATTCACGTGGTCAGCGGCGTGTTAAAAATTGTCAGAAAGCGCCCATAACGTGTGGACTTATTGAAAAATTTACTGCGGCAGCTGGCTGTCGACGCGGTCAGGTGAAATTCAGTATCATGCAACCGGGCACGCATGTTCATGCTCATTGTGGACCGACGAATTGCCGTTTGCGTGCCCATCTGGGTCTAGTTGTGCCGAAAGGTCCCCGATTGCGTGTGGCTGAGGAAGAACGGTGAGTGCATTTGATTTTTGCTGATTCAAAAATTGTAGTAGGAAATGAAATAGCCAAAATATTATTTGTATACCCTGAATAGGGTAACTTAACTTTGTCACGATGTTTGTAATACACTGAAGGAAATGTTGGAGACCGTATGAAGTATATATTATATATATATAATCAGCGTGACGAGCTGAGTCGATTTGGATATGCTTCTCTGTCTGTCTGCTGTATATGCGCGAACTAGTCCCTCAGTTTTTGTGATATCGAACTGAAATGTTGCATACGTCTTTTTGCTCACAAGAAGTTGCTCATTCGTCGGAATCGATATCGGACTACTATAGGATATAGCTGTCGTACAAACTTACCGATCGAAATCAAGTCTTTGTACAGAAAGCTTTTTTATTTGACAAGATATCTTCAAGAAATTTAGCATATATTATTATATTATTTTCTAAGGCATCGCTACAATCTTCGAACATATTGCTTAGATCCACAATAATCTCCTTTTTATATTATTTTATGCCATAAAAAATGCACATATGTATGAATGGTTTTATTGCTTCGGTGTAGCCGAAGTTGACGTTTTTTCCTGTTTTTTAATTTTTTTTAAACTTGTGTTAAATATGCATTTACTTACAGTACTTGGAAAGAGGGTGAATTTTTGATATTCGACGATAGTTTCGAACACGAAGTTTGGCATAACGGTACTAGTTTGCGGCTTGTCCTGATCGTCGACGTCTGGCATCCTGATTTGAGTGCAATGAAACGACGAACGCTCTCACCAATTTGATTAGCAAGCATAGCTGCATATGTTACACATATACATATGTAGTTGTTGCCCTAAAAAGTTCCTGTTTGCACCACACCAAATACATTAAAACGTGAAATTAGTTTTTAAAAAGTATATATATTGCTTTTTAATGCGACTTTTATAAATAGCTTATTAGAAACTAAGCTTACACGCTTGCTAACATGCTAACTAGTTTACTAATTGCAGTTAAAATTTCCTTACTAAAATTGTGAATTAAAATAGTTTATGAAAAAATTAGAAAAATGTAACTCAAAGGTATATTTTTAAGATCACTTAGAAACCATTATATACGGTTTAATTTGGATAAAAGAGAGTTTCTATGCCAATGCTGATATTGTTACTTAATATGAAGAGTTCTAGGTTTTTATTTTCTTTATTTATTTTTTCATGAATTTTTTGCTGTGAAAAACAAAAAAGTTTATTGGAATAATTTAAAATAGTGTTGTTGAATGCATTGTTCATCGAAGTCTTAATTAAGCACAAAAATTTTTAAAAAGTTAAATTTGAAATGAAACAATTTTGTCTGTTAACCTTCAATTAATTTCATATATGTATGTATATGACTTGAATAAATAACAATAAGAATGTATTTATTTTTTTATATAAAAAAAGCTTATACTTTCTATTAAATTAATATATAAGTTTTAATATTTATTTATTCATGTGTAAAGACAGTCGTGTAAACTTATTGTTAACCGGACGAAAGCAATTTAATATTATACAATTACAATTAATACAAAAGCCACTGTGAATATAATTCAAAACCAAACAAATGTGTTGTAAATATGAATTATTAATAAATTTGCTTTCCTTTTCTACACCGACATGAATTTTGTTTCGAATATTTATTTAGAGAAGGTATGTACCGATTGCATCAAATAATATTCTCACTCAATTTTATTCAGATAACTTATTTACTAATCGATATACTACTGGGATCAAAAAGTAAGGTGAGATATGTAATTGTCATTTTAAATTCCCTGGCATCAGGAAGGCAGGTAAATTAAAATTCTACGTTGGTAGGACGTCTGGTTTTTCAGCAAACTCACAAGGCCAACACGGGGACGTCGTTTTGATACGATTGAGGAGATAAAAACTGAATCGAAAAAGGTTTTGAAGTCTACACCGACTACTTTGAGGACTGCTAAAAGCGTAGTGCGTTTTATCGGGCCGGAATTACTTTGAAGGGGATGAAATTGATTTCGAAGAGTAAATAAAGAATTTACTTTTTATAAAAAAACTTTTTATATCACTGTTATTTACATCATAAAGACAACTAGACGGAAGGTCAGCCATGTAAATAAAGTCCTTATCTGGAAAACTTTTTCATTGGGCAAGATATATTCACGAAATTTCACAAGGATATTGTCCAAGATACAATCATCGAAATTACTGTTCAGAACAGACTGCTGTAGTATATACGTGTACATAGCTGCCATTCAATCTGACCGATCAAAAACAAGATAAATATTTTCATAAAATATCTCTTTTCCGTGTTAAGTACTCATAAGCTTAATTCGATTAAAGGGTGTTTATATCAAACAGTATTATAGCTTCCATTAACGTTTTCTCTTGTTTTTTTCATCATGAAATAAAGTTTTATCAAAACTTGAAATTAAATTTTTCTTACTATAAAAAAAATTAGCAGAGGTTGCGACTAAGGTTGTGATATCGTTTGGATGAAATGTCATGGGATTTTAATCGTCTTTTAGTTAAGATTGGTATGTATTATAAGCTAAGAATAAAATTTTTTTGTTTGCTGCGTGATCTTTCGGACAGGCCAATGACTTTCCAAACTGTTTATGTATCGTAAGTAGGGTATAAGGTCAATGAAAAGCACGGATATTCCCATATTTGTAAGTGAGATTAATATTGCATATTGAACTACAATTACATACATAATACACTGTTTTTATGTCGAAGCCTTTGAAGCAGAAACTATATATCTTTGTGGAATAATGTCTATAATTTATATTTTTCAACTTATGTATGTGGTAAAGATTTGCTTAAATTTGCATGTACATATAAATAATAAATAAATATATACCTTCTTTATATTATAAAGGCAAATTTGAATTAACTTATTATTTGAATCTATACTATATTTAAGTTCTTTTGATCAATTACATTCGCAGTATCGATCTATTATTCAGCGATTATTTATAATAATATGAATACATTTATGAATATTTGTATAGTATGAATATTACACAAATATCACAAATTAAGTAGTACTTTCATTGTTAAGCATTTTGTGTTATTAAATGTTTTCAGCACTCCAAAACACGCAAAGCACGCACGCATGCGGAGAAGCGGTGTGAAAAAACCCCTATTTGATACGATGGAACATCGATGTGTGGTTCAAACGTTTTACATAGCATTTTCGATCGAATAAAGGAAAGCTGTAGATACGTGTATTTTTAGAATGCCCCGAGTAATATGCTTCTGGTTATTTCATTTATTATGATTTTTGAAAGTATTATATTTTCCTTTAGCTTACATATTTCGAATAATCTCCTTTGACTTTAGAAAATAATCTTTTGTAATGTTTTTTTTGCTGATAACTCATTTAAATTGAACTAAACTAAAACTTTTATCTTAGTATAGCAATCCTTTATGAATTACGTATTTTTCAAGGTCATTCAATTCAATTATTGGTTATAGACATAAACGTAGGTTTTCGGTGATTCCAATCCATAAGGACATGTGATCACTTTAAAGGAGGGTTCAGTGATTCCAATCGAAATATGAACTTGTTGAGTGAGTTGGAGATTAATGAGGTTATATTGGCATGACCCGCGTATCACTTGGGTCAATTGGTGAGTCCATTCTCTATTTTTCAAGCTTACTTAAAAGGAAAGGAAGGAAAGTGTGAATCCTAATTTTTGTGTCTTGAGATTTTCTTAGTATCGGTGATGTTTAATATAAAATTCTGCACTCTCTCAAGTTATACATAATCTTACATAATAAAAAGTGTTGAATAACTATTTACTAATCAAAAATCCAGGTCACTCAATTCAATTAGTGATTACAGATATGTTATACATATAAGTATATTTTGCAGGATTCTAACCCATAAGGACATGTGATCATTTTAAAGGAGTGTTCTGTGATTTCAAACGATATGAGTTTTCCTCCGAGGTCTTACTAAAACTAACTGGTTCAAATTTAATTAAGAAATAAGCCGTAGACAGATTTTGTATTAAGATATCTAAAAAGTAACGTTATTCGAAAAGATTTCAATTTTTTTCCACCAATTTTCGTTCAAAATGGTAAAAAGGTTTAAAATTGAGAAAGAAGTTTTGAAATTTTTTTAAATTCATATCATACACATATTTGTAAGATGATAGTATAGTGCATATAAATATGAGCATCCTTAGTATATTGAGGTAGAACAATAAAATTTACTGAAACACATAAATACTTGCAGGCATTCCTTTTTATACCCTGCACACGGTATATCAAGTTTGCCACAAAGTTTGTAATATCCAGAAGGAAATGTCGAAAACTCTATACATTATATATATTATATAAATGATTAGCATGAAGAGCTGAGCCGATTTAGTCCTGTCCGTCTGTCTATATACACGCGAACTAGTCCCTCAATTATGCACATATCGTTTTCTTCCAAAGAAGCTGCTCATTTATCTAAACCGCCGATATCGGACCATTATAGCATTTAGATGATAGACGAACTCTACGATCAAAATCAAGTTCTTGTATGGAATCTTTGAATTTGTGAAGGGTATTATAGCTTCCATGCAACCGAAGTTTACATTTTTTCTTGTTTTAAATATATAGAATATAAATATAATTTGTGTAAATATTAGTTTGTACTTCGAAACACGCAATCCGTTGCCGACTTTCAAAATCGTCAGAGACCTATAAAAGCTGATGAAGAATTACCTAAAACAATCATTTAATCAGAGCTTTAACAATCTGTTAACAAAATGTATGCACTACTGCTCTTTGTGCTTGTTGCAAATTATTTCAACTTTTCCATTACGAAAGCAGCTGTTCCCGAAGTTTGTATCGATCAATTGGGTTGCATCGAAGGTGTTCATGCAACAGACAGTGGGGGTCAACAATATGAAGCCTTCTATGGCATACCGTTTGCTAAACCACCAATCGGTGAATTGCGATTTAAGGTAAGTTTACGAAAGCATGTAAGAATATAAAAAATATAATATTTTATAGCGAATATCCTATTTTATATATGTAATAGAATCCCTTAGCAGTTGATCCTTGGAAAGGTAAACTTATGGCCAAAGAACCGAGAACTGAATGCATTCAATATAACCAAATTCCAAGCATACCTACGATTAGTGGTAAAGAGGACTGTCTATACTTGAATTTGTATCGCCCCAAAGTAAAAAGGCGCTGAGACTTATTTGCTACAATTATTTTACCTCATCTTTGTTTTTTTGTAAATTTTAGGAAAGGTCCACTGAGAAACTACCCGTTTTGTTTTACATACACGGTGGAGGCTTGTTTTCGGGCACTTCAAGTCCCGCAGTGAATGGTCCTGAATATTTTATGGAAACTAATGAGGTTATATTGGTATTACCCGCGTATCGCTTGGGTCAATTTGGTGGGTATTTTCTCTAATTTTAAAGCTTACTCAAAAGGATTCTGAGTGAAAATTAATTGTTGTCTTTTGTAGGTTTCCTTAGTACCGGTGATGAGCATATGACTGGTAATTTTGGACTTAAGGACCAGAACATGGCCCTTAAATGGGTTCAAAAATATATTTATGCCTTCAATGGTGATCCTTCGCGTGTTACTATTTTTGGCCATAGTGCTGGTAGTATTTCTACGCATTTACACATGTTAAGTCCAGCTTCAAGAGGTACTTTTAAGCGTCACGCACTAAATCGACGCTGCTGGGCAAATTTAATGTAAAATTCTGCGCTGTCTAAGGCTTTATCTTCACATTGATCATTATCTATAATATTACATGATAAAAACATTTTGAATTACTATTTACTAATCAAAAATACTACCCTTTCTAGGTTTGTTTCGCAATGCTGTATTAATGAGCGGCCAAGCAAATTCTCCTTTCATCCGAAAAATCGACCAAAAATCTCAGGTCATTCAATTAGCTAAGGGTGTTGGAATTACAAATGCTAACGAAATGTCCTCAAGTGAACTAGCTGACGCTCTACGCAATGTACAAGCAATGGACCTGTTAAAGGCAGGTGCTGATCTCAAAGTATGGCGTGTGTACCCCTTTGCTACTTTTCGTACCACCATTGAACAAGAGTCATGGTCGGAACCTTTTCTAACCGAAGATACGTTCAAATTAATCGGAAGTCCAAAAATGCCGAAAACTGTGCCATGGATTGGTGGTTATACCTCGTCAATTGGTGAAGGCACAGTCATGGCGCTAAGGTTATCTACGGATCCGGATTTACAAGCTGACTTCAATAAGAATTTTTATTATTTATTCAAATTGGTGATTGAACTGAACGGCACAGAATATCCGGAAAGAGTTGATGAAGTAGTAGAGCGATTAGTGGTGGAATATATGGATGGAGTTCGTGAGTTGAATAAAGACACAATTGATGGCTTCTTAGAGGTAATTATGGCGCATAGTAAGTGTATACAATAATATCAATGTATTTTTGATTTCAATTAGCTTTTAGGTGATTGCTTTTTTACTTATCCATTATACAAAACTATTGCCAGTAATGTTAATTCTGGCGGTCAAGCAAATAGCCTTACGGGAATAATTAAATTCGGTTATCGCGGGCCATATACATTTACTGAGATTTTTACAGGAAGCTTGAGGAATTTAGGTGCTGTACATGTTGATGATTTCCTATATCTATATCGTATGCCATTCTTAGTTCCAAATGGATATGAAATATCAACACCTGAGGCGGAGTTGGTTAAGAAATACGTGGCACTCCATGTTGAGTATGCTAAAACTGGGTAAGTACATATGGTAAATGTGATATTATTTGTTAGCGAGGTTCGGTTGCGTGATACACCCTACACGGGATAGTCTCGACTTAAGTCCATCAGTCATAAAATAATAAATTTTTTTGACAGAAATATTTTATTTTCAGCAATGTCGAAGCCTTCAATAAAGTGAGCCCTTGTTCGAAAGATAAATTTGACCGACCCGACCTACCAGCCATTTGCGATTATTTGTCGATTGTCAATGATACGGAATTATTTCAGGTTGGAAATAAGTGGGACGTGAAACGAATGAAGCTGTGGAAGTACGTAGATAAAACTCTCTTCGATATTTAAAATAGATATGTTAAAACTGCACTTGTACAAAAACAAATGAAATATAATGTAATTAAACAGTTAATTTTACGGTATATATTAAGCTTTTTGCGAATGCCAAATTATACCCATGAAACCAAGGTAATATAAATTAAATATATCTATCCAGTATCTAGTAAGATACCTTTCTCTAAAAAATCTCTTAAATGAGCTAAATATTTATTATTAATTTATGAATTAAAAGTATTATATAAAAACTGGAAGTAAAAAAAGTATGTCTATAAAAATGCGATCTGCTTCAACATCAATAGAAGAAAATGTAAAAAAAATGAAAGATATTCTATAATTACTATTGTAGAAAATATTTTTTTGGAGCACGCACCCTAATGTAAAAAATGTGCTCGTTTAGCTCATTCATTTGAAATCGTGTCGAAAAAATCATAAAAACACGACGACATAAGTAGGTTCGAAGAAGCACGTGTTTATGAAATATCCGTTTAAAATTATTTGTTTAGTATAACACTTTGGCATGAAGTTAGATCTCAAACCAATTGTTAAAGTCTATCAAATTATCGCAGAAATTAAAGGAATTACTTTGTTGTTAACGTATTTGGTGTATTGTTCGAATTTCTATCCGATAAGCGCCAATTTGGCGAAGGTATGGTTTTGTAGGAAATTTCATCCTGTGTACTCGGCAGGTATGTACTTGTATGTATATAAGTGGCAATGAGAGCGATTCATTTAAAGCTTTCTTAGGCCAAACTGCTTATCGGCGATTTGAGATTCAGCGTAAGTGAGACGAGTATACCTGTTCGATGGTCTAATTAAAATTTAATTACAAAATCCTGAACTTTGTTCCACAATTACCACAATATCTATTTATTAATGGGCTGAATCACCATTAATTACCAGTAATGTTACATACACGGTGGTGGATTTTTTTCCGGCTCTCGGAGTCCCAACCATTTTGGATCGCACTATTTTATGGATACGAACAAAGTGATTCTAATAGAGACCGCCTATCGCTTTTCTCTATTTGGTAAGTGATAAAAGATTTTTGTGCTAACATTTTTTGAAAAAAAAAGCAGATTATAACATATTTCATTGTAAAAATATATACCTCTATAACTATAAAGCAACCTCAGTCAAACTGTAATTTTTATATAAACACCTATTTAAAAATATGACTAATATTAGACATCCGATATAAAGTTAAGTGTTTCTAAAGCGGCTCATTTTTAAAATATAAAATACTTCAATATTCCTCCGCATAACGGTTTTCAATTTTTTTTAGATTAGAGAGAAAAACTCATATCTCTCTTCCAACTAATTGAAAAACTATTCCGTTTCATAGATTTTGTAGGAAATTTAATGTTACGGAAACGGTTTACGAAAAACTCGTTCAAATTTGTTTTTTCATTTTAATTTCATAACTCAATGAAAACATATCATTTTAAATTGCAAAGCTCATAGTCTTGTAGAAAATTTTCTGCTCTACAAAAATGGTCTCTTATTTTTATACCCTGAACTGGGTATATTAATTTTGCCACGAAGTTTGTAACACCCAGAAGGAAACGTCGGAGACCATATAAAGTATATATATAAATGATCACCGTGACGAGCTGAGTTGATTTAGCCATGTCCGTCTGTCTGTCCGTCCGTCCGTCTGTCCGTCTGTATATACGCGAACTAGTCCCTCAGTTTTTGAGATATCGATCTGAAATTTTGAACACTTCTTTTTCTCCCCAAGAAGCTGCTCATTTGTCGGAACGGCCGATATCGGACCACTATAGCATATAGCTGCCATACAAACTGAACAATCGGAATCAAGTGTTTGTATAGGAAACTCTTTCATTTGACAAGGTATCTTCACGAAATTTGGCACGGATTATTATTTAAAGCATTAATTTAATCTCCAAAGAAATTGTATAGATCGGATCACTATATCATATAGCTGCCATACAAATTGAACGTTCGGAATCAAGTTCTTGTAAGGGGCCTTTGTATTTGTGAAGGGTATTATAGCAACCGAAGTTAACCTTTTTTCTTGTTCTCTTTTGTTTTGTTTTTTGTGGTTTCTTTTGATAGGCATTGATATTTGGCGATGAATATCTCGTTAAAGCTTAACTTAATCGAAAAATTATGAAAATCTTTATTTAATTTTTTTAATATTTTATTTCCGCATTTTATAAAAATTTTGAAATTGTTAGCTTTAAGTAAAAATAAAACAATAAAATTTGCATATTTTATCTGAAAATAATAAACTGGTCTTTAATTCGTAGTAAAAATCACTTAGGATTGAATTGGAAATAATTTCATGCATACGGCACTGTCACACTCACATGTATACAGGTTGGTTGAAAAGTTTCTGCGCTCCAAATGACAAAATACTCTTTTGGTACGAAATATATTTTATTATTCAATATAATCTCTTTGAACTTCAATACACTTATTCCAATGATCCTCCAATAATTGTATGTCATCCCTATAATGACTTTCCGAGAGTTCTGCAAACGCGCGAAAAACGCTTTCCACTATGGAATTGTTTCAGATTTCTGAAGAGGTAGTAGTCGCTAGGAGCCAAATATGGTGGATGCTCAAGCAATTCGTACTTTAATTCGTAGAATTTTGTCATTGTTAAAACACCTTTGTGGGCAGGTGAATTGTTTTGATGAAATTTTGTTTTTTTTGTGCTGCAAAGCAGGCCTTTTCTCACGAGTTTTTTCATTTAACTGATCCAAAAGGCTGCAATAATATTCAGAGTTGATTGTTTTACCTTTCTGCAGATAATCAATCAACAAGATTCCTTTTTCATCCCAAAAATCTGATGCCATAACCTTCTATGCTGATCGTTGTGATTTCACCTGCTTTGGAGCTGAACAACCAGCTTCAGTCCATTGTAAACGTTCTTGTTTTTATTTAGGATTATGGTGGTAGATCCAAGTCTCATCCATAGTTATAAAATGTTTCGATCCAGTTTTTCTTGAATTGTTAACGGGTGCGGCACTAACTTTCCAAACAGCTTTTTTGTATATAATTCTTCATCTACTTCATCTTATAAAATATGAAGTACTCGTTTGTCTGATGGCATTGGCAATTTCGCCCTTAGTCAAACTGGGATCTTCACTAACAATATTATGAACTTGCTTAATGATTTCTGGTGTGTGTGCGCTTTTGGTTGTCCTTAGCGTGGATCGTCTTCAAACCTAGTACGATTACGGTTTAAATTCACCAGCCCAAAATTCAACGGTGCGGTTTGAAGGTGATGACTCCTAGTACACTTCTAACCAAAGTTCATAAATTTCCTTTGCTTTTAAACCTTTCAAAAAAAAGAATCTAACCACTGCGCGATATTCAATTGTTTCCATATTAAAAAAATTATTCTGACCCGTCAACTTTTAATGGCTTGTTTACAAAGAATTAATTGACAAAATGACTTGTAACTTTACATGTGTTCTCAAGATAGATGTACTAACTTGAGAAAGAAAAGCTTGGAGCTAGTAGTGCTATTTCTTGGTGAGACCAATCAACTTTTCAACCAACCTGTACATACGTGTAAACCAGAGCGCGTACATATTATTACTGATAAGTGATAATATCATGATTTGAATGCATGAAGGTGTACATATGTACATACATGATACATGCGTATATAGGTAAATGATGAAAGGATTTACATAAATTACTATTGTAATATATTAAATTTTAAGAGTATTATGATCTATAAGAAATTATGTTATATTTTCAAAGATATTAAATCTTTAAAATAGGTCTTATTTTCACATTGGATTCAAATATTGCTTTGAAATAGAATATTAATTATTAAAATGTAGTCAATTGTACCTGTATTCATATATATTCACAAAATAATATTCACAACAATGTATATGATTGCATATACAGGTGTAAAACTATAAGCCAAAAAGCTAACATGCATGCTGCTGTCATATCAAAGTAAGTCTATGAGCATAATTTTCATATAATGCTCAATTCTGTTCACGCGCCACTGTTAAAATTTCTTCTTTTGAGCTACCTGCATCGTGAACCTACGAAAATCTACGTTCTCTGTTATCTTGCACAATTGCTGACCACTGATATAAATCGAACCTTTCATCATTTGAAACTGATATACACATGTATCATGTATCATGCACATACATATGTATCACATATCACGTATTCAAATCATGATATCAACTATTTGGATGGATTTATTATTAGCTACTAGTTGCAATGGTTGATTTTGGAATAATTTTCATTATCAAGATATTTGCAAATAACCAAGGCATTCTTACGGAACAAAAATTGCAAGTGTTTTTTGCGGACTATAATTCATATACCGATTTCAGCTGAATAAACTAACGCAAACACCTTACCATGTTGACTATAAGCATGCAAATATAAAGTATAAGCAGATTTAAAAATAGACGGTAAAGATAAAGAAATTATAGGAACTTAAGACCAACTCATAATTCTATTTAATTAAGAAATTCTGATATTCAAATGTTACTGATTTTAGTATGTTGCGCATTGATGTCTATAAAATTGGTATGAATTATTCCAAAAATTAATTTCTTGTAATTTTTAAGCTATTGCATAGCTTCTATTGAGGGCTTTGAGCGTGGGGACTGAATCAAGAAATTCCGTAACGGAAATAAATCTAACATGATCACAAGTAGGCGTATTTTCGCATTTCTCAAGCGGGACAAATATATTGAAGAGCAGGGTGATTCAAAAATAATAATATTTAAGATACACTTTTTTTAATCGCAAATAAAAATATAAAATTTAATTAATAGAAAAAATTATTTAATATTCGCAGTCATAATATTAGTAACATTATTATTATTTTGGTAAATATCTATCCCACCTTTTGGAACAGTATCTCGTTTGACTTGAATAAAACAATTGAAATTAGGTATTTTAATCTGATTATGAATGGTTATAAATTTCTACTTATCTTGGCTGGCGATTTCAACATCACTTCGCTGATAAAATATCAAAGCGGTTGACAACTTTTCTTTCGGAAAAATTGAATTTGAAAACGAATAATGATCCACAAGAATCCACAACAAAATATAAAACCACCATTGACGCAACATTTTCCAGATATTTAGAGAATGTCAAGTCTAAAACTTATGTTTCCTATTTCAGTTCCCATAAACCTATAGTTCCAATGATAAAAATACCTGAATAACCTACATGTATTGTATGATAATAAAAATATTTTAAACAATAAAATTTGTTTTCTTATCGATCACCACGCTCAAAAAGTATAATAAATTAATATCAAAGAAAAAACTTGACTTAATTTCAAAGAAAAAACAAAAATACTGCATAAAAAATAAATAAATATTTATAATTACATAAGTTGATAAAAAATGCTATGCAATAGCTTTACCGCGGCGAGTGCCACACGTACTTTTTTAAATAAAATATTTATTTTTCCATCATAATATTTATGTTGATTCTGCTGTTTTGGTACCGAATTTATATCAACAAGTCTCCAGTAAAAGCGTTTAAAGAAAAAATTCCATTCTAATCAAGAGCATTTTAATTGTTTTATAAGATCAACCGGGCTTGATAATATAAATTTGTTTTTAAACTGAGAGTAGCTTCCATCAGAAAAATAAATATTTTAGAAAAACTCTCATAGGATTTCTTTTTCAGTTAAGAGATTTATCATGAAAGTAAACACGTCGTGTTGGTTATGTGTTAGCTTATAACTTATAACAGCAAACGATTTTGAAACTTCTGCTAAACTGAGCACTCTGTATCTCACTTCGATTTGTATAATTCTCGGCAAAATCTATTTGAATTCAGTTCAGTAGAATTTATTTTGCTTTTGTTTTTCTCACAATATCTTTGCTGAGCTCTTTTCTCAAAAAAATTACTTTTAAACGAAAGTAATTTTTCTCGACGTCAGCCATTAGGTGGGAAAGAGACCCAATGGTATTGGTAAGAGCTATATGATTATCTATTTTCCGCTACATATTTACTAAATATATTTCTTGCAATTGCTTGCCATACAGTTTTCATTATTGCAGCAGACATATTTATGAATTTCAATATTTCCTTCAGCCAACGCTTTTGATTTTTGCCTAGCTTTTGGTGTTCTTTCCTGTTTTTAATTTATAGTTCTGTAATTTTAATTGATCTTCCTTTAACTTTTCTCTCTACCGCTTGCAATTTTCTTTTTTTTCGATAAGGTTTTTGCTCATCTATAAATAATTAAGCAAAAGTATGAATTTAAATACTTAAATTAACTTTGTAATGTAAAAAATAATTCAAAATTCCGCACTTACGATGTCGCACGTAACCAATTTTAAGTAGTTACCAAAATCACAAATCTTCATATTTTTTAACAAGGTTTTTTGTTATTTAAATTGTATACAAATTAATTGGTTGTAGTCAATATTTTGCGAGCTTTCTGCCTATATACTTTCGACGCACTGGTAACAAGTGTTATTTTTATAAATTTATGTGCTTTAATTTGAATATTTTCCAAAAAAAATATGCATAAACAATGTACATACATCAGAAATATTTAAAGATAGGACTTATTTTCACATTGACTTTAAATATTGTTTTGAAATAGTATATTAATTATTAAAATATAATCAATTGTACCTGTATTCATAAATATTCACAAAATAATATTCATATCAATGTATATGATTGCGTATACAGGTGTAAAAATATAAGCCAAAAAGCTAACAAGCATGCTGCTATCATATCAAAGTAAGTCTTTGAGCATAATTTTTATTAAATACTCAATTCTGTTCACGCGCCACTGTTAAAATTTCTTCTTCCGCGCTACCTGTGGTAAAACACACTCATTGTGCAAGAGTAGCCCTGAAATATTTTTGCGTTCTCTGCATCGTGAACTTTATCTATAATATACGTTCTCTGCTTCACGTTTAGTATAAAAGGGTTGATTAAAGTCAGATTTCATCACAAATTGCTTTAGTCTATCGAATTGTCGCAGTAATGAAAGGAATTGCTTTCTTGTTAACATATTTAGTGTATTGTTCGAATATCGATCCGATACGCGCTGATTCGCCGGAGGTATGCTTGGAGGATTCATCCTGTGTGCTCGGAGAATATATGAGTGGCAATGAGATCGATTCATTTGAAGCTTTCTTAGGCATACCATTCGCCAAACCACCCATCGGCGATTTGAGATTCAGCGTAAGTTAAAAGCATATGCCTCGCACAAGCAATGTTTGATTGTAACAGTCTATTTATAATCTAATTAAAGAATCCTGAAGAAGCTGAACTATGGAATGGCACCTTATCAGCAATATCTCCTAAGTCTGCTTGTATACAACGTGATTATTTCAATGTATCCAAACCGATCAGCGGTTCAGAGGATTGTCTGTACTTGAATATATATCGCCCCTTGGTACCTAATATATACTTATATGATTAACGAAATTTTTGTTCCACAATAACCACAATATCTATTTATTTTTGGCTGCAGCGCAGTGGCGGTGGGGAATTGCCAGTAATGTTCTACATACACGGTGGTGGATTTTTCGCCGGCTCACCGAATCCCAGCTTTATAGGACCGCTATATTTTATGGATACGAGTGACGTAATTCTAGTAGTGGCCGCCTATCGCTTGGGTCTATTTGGTAAGTGATAGAGGGATTTTTTAAAAACCGATTTGAAAAAACAAGTAAGGGAGGATATAGTTCGGATGTAACCGAACATTTTATTCTCTAGCAACTTGCAAGGATGAAAGCCGACTAAATGCCTTCATTTTTACTTAATTTTATTAAAATATCCCACATTTTTACGCTTGCTCATATATAGTCGATAATATATTTTCAAGCCTGTTTATAAATATTATATGTAAATATAAACATAGGTATATGTGGAGTAAAGTTAGCCGGATGTTTCAAAATCGTGAATACCAGTTATATGAGGGTTGAGCCAAGTTTTCGCCCGATTTGATCCATTATAGCCACAAAGATACACTGTTATTAAAAAATATACTCTCTCAGTTTCATTAAAATTACTAGCGTATTGGCTGGTATACACTGCGGTTCATTAGGTTAGCACATCACGGGTTTAAGCAGTTTTGGTTAATTTTTAGGAAAACTAAAGAAACTATAATTTTAAAATTATTAGCGATTATTAACGCATCAACTATAAAATAACTTAAATAGCATTTAGTGTTTTAATTATTGATTGGACCCTTCCTAATTAAATATTTTTCGTCTGAAAAGGCAACATATCGCCAATCAGACTTTATGACCACTAGTTTTTTTGTGAAAATCAAATACTAATTTTGAATGGGAAAGTAAAAAAAATTTATTTCAAGTATTTACCATTACGAGTCCGATCGATGAAAACAAATGGTAATCGGAAAGTGCCAAGTCTGGTGAATACGGCGGGTGGGGTAGTAGCTCCCAGCAAAGTACTTTGATTATATTCTGAACCAATTTTTCTTTAGTGTATTAACAGTGTTATCAAGTTTTAGAAGGTCATGATATACCACACCCTTCTGATCCTTTGATGCTTTCCGCAAATTATCACTTTCCGGTACAAAATTTGACTCTTTCAACACAATTAAAAAATATGATGTTGTTTGTTCAATAACTGTAAGCTTAACGCTCACTTCATACCGATACATCTGGTATGTGTTCCGGTCTAAAATCGACTCGTGTTTCTTTACGGGGAACCTTAAGTGGTGTTTTTTTCTTTAGTTTTTTAATTGTTTATTAATATGGAGCATATATGGAGCGCCCTTTAAATAGTAGATAAGGTTGCTTTAACACCAGCAAATATCCAAATCTTGGCGGTCGAATCATGAGAGGTGTATTCTGTTCTCAAAATTGCTCTCTTGTTACAATGGAAAATCACTTTATTGTTAACGTCTTTATTATTTATTTATAACTTTTCGACTTCTGCCAATTTTTTTTGATATTTCAATTATTGAAAGCTGTAACTCTTCATAAGCTTCGATTATAGCTTTCTTTTTAACCGATAGCGTTTTTCCTTTAGCCATATTATAGAAAATATAGTACTTAAGCAATAAAACAAAATTCGGTGACAATACGTATTCAAATTCGGAAGATAAATGCATATCAAATAGCATGTACTAACCTGATGACGCAAAAATAAAGCATACTTTTCGGCTAAAAAGAACAGAAAAAAGCAAAAATAATATAACGAGATATTTTTATCCCATGTTTTCTTCACCAGTGATTGTTCATACAAAGATGAAAAAATCAAAAAACAAGAAATTGCTGAAATTCCCATTCAAAACAAGTAAGGAAGAGCTAATTTCGGGTGCAACCGAAAATTTTATATATCATATTTTGACCGACCTGAACTTTTTAACATCAGGTGAAAAGACGGAAATCAGAGGGTAGGGATGAGCCAATTACATTAATTTGGAAATTGCTTAGGTATACTAGAGAACATATTACCGATCTATCTACTTTAGGCACACAAATCCCTGCTATTTGTAAAACACACTCACTTATTTTCATTGAGATAACTCATATATTGGCCGATATATGCGGTATAAAGTCACCCGGAAGTTCAAAAATCTTTAAAATAGGTATATGGGGGCTAAGGAAAGTATTTACTAGATTCCACCTATTTTCGTTATTCAGACATACTATTATCAGGAAAGGATTCTCTCCGAATTTCAATTATATATCTCAAACATTGACCGATATTTCGCTAAAAAGTTAACTATAGACACTGGGGTCCACATATTCGGTACCTAAGGGCTTGAACAATTATGGTTCGATTTGGACAATTATTGGTCATAAGGTGACACACTTCAAAGGTAATAAAATCCGGTTTCATCCATTTTCACACTGTTGATAGATGTTCTTAAAGGATTTGTCCCCAGCGAATTTGGTTATTGTAACTTCTGTGGTGTAAGAGATATGTACATTAAACATATTAGAGAGCGGGGCGATGCCCACTTTTTTCAAAACTTTTAGCCTAGAGGTGTTCCCTGCAATCTCCCGCACCAAATTACAGTTTTATATTTTAATTTGCAGCTTAGTTAGGACATTTTATAAGTTTTCTATAATTGGTATTTTGTGGGCGTGGCAGTAGTCCATCCTTTTTCTGTCAAGGAATGCATCGTTTCGTTACGATATTTAAGTTTTGACTCATGTTACAGCTTGCACGGACGAACGGACAGACACTCACCCTGATTTCAACTCGCCTCGTCATCGTGACACTGTATGAATATAGAATCCTATTTGTTACTAGATTACTTTTAGGTGATAAAAATAACCATTAAGTGAATATATATATATATAATATACATATAGAATCCTATTTGTTACTAGATTACTTTTAGGTGATAAAAATAACCGTTAAGTGAATAAAACTATTATACTATGTAGCAACATGTTGCAAGAGTATAAATGTATATACGAGTAAACCTTAAACTATAAAGCAACCTTAGTCAAATTGTTATCTTTATATGAACACCTCTTGAAAAATATATTAATAATATTAGTCATCTGATATAAAATCAAGTGCTTCGAATTTTTGTAAATTGGCTCGTTTCCGAAATATTACAAAATTTCGTGATCGGCTGAAATATTTTTTAAACAATAGCTATTATTTGAAATTATTTCGAGATATCCAAGAGAATCTTATTATTAATGCCAATATTATTTTTATTATTGTGTTACTTTCAACAGGTTTCCTATCTACTAACGATGAAGAGATGACGGGAAATTATGGGCTTAAAGATCAGAAATTAGCACTCCAATGGGTTAATAAGTACATTTCGGCATTTGGCGGTGATCCCGATCGTGTTACAATTTTCGGCCACAGTGCTGGTGCTTCAGCTGTTCATTTACACTTAATGAATAACAATCAAGAGGGTAATTTATAAAGACATAAAGAATATACGTCATATTTGGAAGTACTGTTGTTTGATAAAATTTCCAGGTCTATTCAGTAACGCTATTATGATGAGTGGCACCGCAAACACACCATTCGCTTTGCCAATAAACGATCCAAGAGACCAAGTCGTTAATTTAGCTATAGCTGCTGGTGTAAACGAAGCTGAGGACCTAAGTTCCGCTGACCTAGTTCAGGCATTGCGATCAATCGAACCGGAAGCGTTGTTATTAGCTGCCGATAATCTTAAGCTGTGGGCTGAGCAACCACTTGTAATATTCCATCCAAATATTGAAAGTGAAACCTGGCCTGGTGCATTCTTAACAAATGATCCATCGGACCCATCCATTCCGTTTGGAGGGGTCACTGATATACCTTGGATCATTGGTAATGCACCTTCCAAGGGTGAGGCTTTGGTTATTGCACTTCGATTGGCAAGCAATACGAGTTTGCAGGAAGAATTAAATGAAAACTTTAGCAGCAGACTAAGCATTGCATTGAGTTTGCCTGCTACATGTGACACAGAAGATGTAATAGATACATTAGTAACAGAGTATATGGATGGTAAACACAATTTGAATAATGATACATTAAATGGCTTTTTGGAGGTAAATAAATATGAAATATCCTTGCATGCTGAGGTAATTATTTTCAATCTTTGTTTTCTTTTTAGCTTTTGGGAGACGCTTATTTCATATACCCAACTTATAAACTTTTAAAATATAACGTCAATTCTAGGCGCAGTGATTTTAAAGGAATAATACATTTTGACTATCGTGGGCCCTATTCATTTTCGGGATATTTTACAAATAGCTTAACAGATTTCGGTGTTTCACACTACGATGATACATTGTTTCTGTTTGACGGCCCCCCCGGATTGTCAAATGGTTATTCAAAGGAGTCTCGTGAGGCAGCTTTAGTGAGACGCTTTGTGAGGGTGTATCAGTCTTTTGCCGCAAATGGGTAAGTGGATCTAAATATGTGTCTAAATGTATGTATGTATTAGTGTCATGTTTTCTTTTTTTTAGTTATTCAGATGAATTTGCTGGCATCGAAGAATGTAATGATTTAAATTTTCCGAATTGTGAATATTTGTCGATCGTAAAAGATGAGAAACCGTTCAAAACTGGTAATACTTGGAATCTTAAACGAATGACAATATGGGAACAAATATATGATATTTGCTAAGTTACCTTTTTTGATTTATATATTATATATAATTTATATATTGTATATATTAACACATACTTGACAGTATATGTTAAGTATGACTTTATTTTCGGCCTATATATATATATACATATAATATATATGTGTATGTTCGAATACACATACTTATTGCAATAAAGACGAAAATAATTTCATACTTAACATATACTTGACTGTGTTCAATCGGATTACTTAGAATAATAATATTTTTTTTTGTCGAATTCTTTTGGGGCTGCAGGGTTGCACATCCTAGCCAGCATAGGTGTGGATTTCTGTTCCACTGAATTATTTAAAAGGTAAAAATGTTAATAAGAAGCATAATGTCAAGTTAGAATTAACCAGCTCTTTGTAAATATAATCTCTATCTGAATTAATTTAGGATTCTCCATTATTATATTTTGGTAAAGACAAAAAATTATGACAAAGCAAGTTTAATAAAAAAATAAGTAGTAAAGATATTTAGTTAGATAGTCAGTTATCCGAAAAAATTTCAAAATTGTAATTCTCTATCAATTGTTTTTTAAATGGGAAAAAATTGTATGGAATGTGTCCATTGGCCTTCGCGTGCAATAATTGGAGCTGTTCCTATCCACTTTATTTAAGATTTTGCGAAAGGATCTTGGGTTGCGAGCTTACAAAATCAAACTCGTGTAAAAATTGAAGCTGAGCGACCTTCAAGTACGTCTCACATTCGGTGAATGGGCCCAAAACAAGATGGCCACAGATCCAGAATTTCAAAAGAAAATTTTGTTCACTGATGAAGCTCACGTTTGGTTGAATGGTTACCTTAATAAAGATAATTGTCGCATTTGCACAAGCCATTATTGAGACGCCGTTACATCCTCAAAAAGTCACTGTTTGGTGTGCTCTATGGACAGATTGAATCATTGGTCCATATTTCTTTAAAATTCAAAAGCCATAAGACCCTAAATGTCGAACGCCGTAGAGCTATGATTAAAGACTTTTCGTGCCTGGATATTGATTTGAACGAAATTTGGTTCCAACAAGTCGGCGCTACATGCCATACAGCCAACGATAGAATCAATCGATTGAAGGAAAAACAAAAAAATCTTGGCTATAATATTAAATTATATATAATTTTTCTTTCTTCCTGGAAAAAACATGCCTAAAAAAACACACTTTACTTCGCAACACGCTATCCGTTGCCGACTCTCAAAATCGGCGGATACTAATAAAAGCTGATAACAATATCACTTACCTTCCTTTATAAATTTTAGAAAAGGTCCGCTGAAAAACTACCCATTTTGCTCTTTATACACGGTGGAGGTTCCAAGTCCCACAGGTCCCGAATATTTGATGGAAACTAATGAGGTTATATTGGTATTACTCGGATATCGTTTGAGTCAATTTGGTATGTGCTTTTTTTTAAAGGATTCTGTGTGACAATCTTAATTCTTGATGTCTGCAGATTTTCTTAGTACCAGTAAAGAGCATATGGCTGGTAATTTTGGACTTAAGTACCATAAAATGGCACATAAAAAATATATTGGTGTCTTTGGTGATCCTTCGTATATTACTATTTTTCGCCACAAGGCTGGCAATATTTCTTCGCATTTACACATGTTCAGCCCAGCTTCAAAAGGTATATATTTAACCAATTTTTAAGGGTTACGTACTCAAACCACTTTCCCCAGCAAATTTAATGCAAAACTCTGCGCTCTCTAAAGCTTCAGCTTCACTTCGATCACTTCAGAGCGATTATTCGTGAGTGGAATGACTTTCTAGAGGGAATTATGGAGCATAATATATAAGTATACATTAATTTCATCGGATCGGATCGGTGATTGGTTGCTCTGGGTAAAGAAACTCCACACGTGACAATCTAGGCTTTATACCCTCAGCCATCAAATAATACTATATAAAATATTATTATTATTGACATTTCATTATCAGCAATGGCATAGCCTTTAGTAAAATTAGCCCTTGTTCGAAAGATAAGTTTCACCAATCGACGGTTTCCTTTTAAATATCTTGAATATTTGACAGAGATATCAACCTCTCTCGGGCCTTCGTTGCATCTGCTGTGCCTTCTAGGAAAAGCTCGTAACAACACTGAATGAAAACCACAAAAAACTTAAAAAAGATATATTGTATAGAGAAAAAAGAGCTGTTTATAATTGAAAATATAATTTTGAAACTTCCCGTACACGTAGTTGTTTACAAAGCGAGTAATGCTCTTAAAAGGTCACCTTCAACTAAGCAATTAATCATTCCCACAAGCTTTACTTCGGTTTTATACAAATGTCATTAGCTCACAGTTAGCAACCTAACATCAGATATATTGCAACTTCCTGTGAATGTCAAATTGAAATCTGGGAAATATTAATGGAAATATAAAAAAGACTTATCACACCCACAAAACGCCATTAATCGAAAACCAATAAACTACCATAATTAGGCTCCACAATAAGATACAACATTGTTATTTGGTATAATGAATCGCATTACGGAGGGGCAACTGGAGTTTACAAACTTTGTAAAAAGTGGGCGTGCCTCCTCTAATAGGTTTAATATGCATATATCCTAAGCCACTAAAGCTATAATAAGGAAATTCACTCCTATACACTGGGAAACTGGGTGATAACTCCAATTAAGCTTTATAGGAGCCAATACAAGAGTTGGAAAGTGAGGATGACACCGCCCACCTTTAGGAGAAAACCTATATCTTGGTATCTGCTTGACCGATTTCAACCAAATTTGGGAAGTAATATTCCTATTCCTGATATTCCTATATTACAGTGTAAAAATGGATAAAATAGAAAGATTTTCGAACTACCGGCTGACTTTATACCGCATATATGCATAAAATGGATAAAATCAGGTGAAAACTTGCCCCAGCCCCCATATAACTAATATCAGGATTTTCAAACATTCAGTTGACTTTACTCCTTATATATACCATATAAAAATAAAGCTAAGTCAGTCTATGAAACGTAATAAAATAAAAAATTTGATTGAATTCCATTCAGGATTTCGTCGAATAATGAATTTGTAATTCTTTCGCTACAATTTTTAATATTGTCAACACCGGAAGGTATTTAGCCGGCTTTGATCCTTGCAAGTTGCAAGAGTATAAAACAATCGGTAACACCCGAACTTAGCGCTTTCTTACTTGTTCTATTTTAAAAAATGAACTAAACATTTATTATTAATCTATAAATAAAAAATACCAAAAATAAAAACTTATATAAAACTGAAAGTAAAAAAATATGTCTTTAAAAATTTATAAAATGTGGATCAGCTTTGATAATAATGGATAATAACTTAAAAAAGATATTTTAGAAAATAAATGTTTAGGGCACGTACCCTAATGTACAAAATGTGCTCGTTTAGCTAATTTATTTGAAATTATTACGAATATCTGCATAAATTTGTTTATCTGTAACGACGACATATGTATGTTCGAAGAGGCACATGTTTGGAAAATAACACATATAAAATTATGGCCTAATTACTTTTGGTTTAGTATAAAAGTGTTGAATAAAGTTAGATTCACAAAGAAAAGTTAAAGTCTATCGAATTGTCGCAGTAATGAAAGGAATTACTTTGTTGTTGACGTATTTGGTGTATTGTTGGAATATCGATCCGATACGCGCCAATTTGCCGAAGGTATGCCTTGATGATTTATCCTGTGTGCTCGGCAGATATATGAGTGGCTATGAGAGCTATTCATTTGAAGCTTTCTTAGGCATACCATTCGCCAAACCACCCATCGGCGATTTGAGATTCAGCGTAAGTAAGAAGCATATGCCTCGCACAAGCAATGTTTGATTGTAACAGTCTATTTATAATCTAATTAAAGAATCCTGAAGGAGCTGAACTATGGAATGGCACCTTATCAGCAATATATCCTAAGCCTGATTGTGTACAACGTGATTATACCAAAGTATCAAAACCGATCAGCGGTTTAGAGGATTGCTTGTACTTAAACATATATCGTCCTTTGGTACGAATTAGTTTCCCGGAATTTCTGTCCCACATTAACCACAATGTCTGTTTATTTTTGGCTGCAGCACGGTGCCGGTGGGGAATTGCCAGTAATGTTCTATATACACGGTGGTGGATTTTTCGCCGGCTCACCGAGTCCCAAGAGTTTTGGTCCGCAATATTTTATGGATACGAGTGATGTTATTCTAGTAGTGCCCGCTTATCGCTTGGGTCCATTTGGTAAGTGATAACGATGTTTTGGCCAACCGGTTTGAATACAAAGCAGATTATTTTTCATTATAAAATTATATATCTCTATAACTATAAAGCTACATCTGTCAAATTGTTATCTTTATATGAACACCTCTTGAAAAATATATTAATAATATTAAATATCCGATATAAAGTTAAGTGCTTTGAAATTTTGGATCAGCTAATTTCTGAAATATTACAAATTTTCAAGCTCGGCTGAAATATTTTTTAACAATAGCTATTATTTCAAGATATTTCGAGATATCCAAGATAATCTTATTATTAATGCCATTATTATTTCTATTATTGTGTTACTTTCAACAGGTTTCCTATCTACTAACGATGAAGAGATGACGGGAAATTATGGGCTTAAAGATCAGAAATTAGCACTACAATGGGTTAATAAGTACATTTCGGCTTTTGGCGGTGATCCCGATCGTATTACAATTTTCGGCCACAGTGCTGGTGCTTCAGCCGTTCATTTACACTTAATGAATAACAATCAAGAGGGTAATTTATAAAGACATAAAGAATATACGTAATATTTGGAAGTACTGTTATCTGAAAAAATTTCCAGGTCTATTCAGTAACGCTATTATGATGAGTGGCACCGCAAACTCACCATTCGCTTTGCCATTAAGCGATCCGAGAGGCCAAGTCGTTAAATTGGCTAAAGCTGTTGGTGTAAGAGAAGCTGAGTACCTAAGTTCCGCTGGTCTAGTTCACGCATTGCGATCGATCAAACCTAAAACCTTGCTAAGAGCTGTTGATGATTTTAAAATTTTGGCTGAGCAACCAGCTGTAATATTCCGTCCGAATATTGAAAAAGACGACTGGCCTGGTGCATTCTTAAAAAATGACCCAATAGATCCAACCATACCGCTTGGAACAGACATTGATATTCCTTGGTTTATTGGTAATGCACCTTCCAAGGGTGAGGGTTTGGTTATTGCACTTCGATTGACTAATAATAAGAAATTGCGCGAAGAGTTCAATGAAAACTTTAATAAAAGTCTAAACATTACATTGGACTTACCTCTTCAATGCGATAATGAAGAAGTGATAGATACATTGGTAACAGAGTATATGGATGGTAAACACAATTTGAATGATGATACATTAAATGGCTTTTTGGAGGTAAATAAATATGAAATATCCTTGCATGATGAGGTAATTATTTTCAATCTTTGTTTCCTTTTTAGCTTTTGGGTGACGCTCATTTCATATATCCAACTTACAGACTTTTAAAATATAACCTCAATTCTAGTCGCACTGATTTTAAAGGAATCATACATTTTGACTATCGCGGACCCTATTCATATTCGAAAATATTTACAAATAGCTTAAACAATTTTGGCACTGCACACGTTGATGATTCGCTGTTTCTGTTTGAAGGGCCACGCGCGGTGTCGAAAGGTTATTCAAAGAAGTCTCGTGAGGCAGCTTTGGTTAGACGCTATGTGAGGCTGTTTCAGTCTTTTGCCACGAATGGGTAAGTGGATCTAAATATGTGTCTAAATAAGTATATAAATTAGTGTTATGTTTCCTTTTTTTAGTTATTCAGATGAATTTGCTAACATCGAAAAATGTAATAATTCAAATTTTCCGAATTGTGAATATTTGTCGATCGTAAAAGATGAGGAACCGTTCAAAATTGGTAATACTTGGAATATTGAACGAATGAGAATTTGGGAAAAACTATATGATTCGTGCTAAATTGCTTTTTGGTAATAAAGCCAAAAATAAAGTCATACTTATACTTGACTGTGTTAAATCGGAATACAATGTTAATTATTATATACATTGTTCGGATTCATAAGAGCGAGTCATTCATTCAAACCCGCCATCTTTTTGTTCAACCACCGTGCCGTTAGGGTGCTGTGCTATACCATATCTTCATGACAACGAAAATACTTTGTATCTTTGTAACCTTTTTAAGTTATCGCCAAATATTTAACAATTCAAAAAAAAATAATCCATCCATCATATAGTCTTTATTACTTCTGCTCGTAGTATCTGTGGTATGTGGTGATGCCACTTAAATAAAGTCCAAACACTTTCTTGAGGAATATTCAATTGAATTTATTATTGCTTTCAATAAACATATGTTTTTTAATCAATTAAAAATCATATATGGTAAGTCTTTAAACCCCTCTATATTATCTCTTTGCGAAGTTTTTGCTTGTATAAAAATGAGAGATTACTAACAATTAAGTAAACCAAAAATGATACACAAGCAAACTCAAATCTTAAAATTTGGTATTTCCTTGATCCCGTAACCGATTACCAGGAGGACCTCCGGAAAAAACTTTTTGGCGGTGAGGAAGATTTTTCTGCTTAAAATAATCTAAAATCTAAAAACCAAAAATTTTTATTAATATTATTGTAATGATCGCAGAACCAGACAAAATTTTGTTTTTGACAAAATGGCGGTTTCCAAAAAAAAATTCGGGTTTTGTGAAAAAGGTTACACTCCAGAGGCTTCAAAAATTATTATCAAAAACCAGAAAATATTCTCAAATATATGTATGTACATTCGAAATATAATTTACAAGTGGACGTTACATCTCAAGCTACAAACACTTTTAACCTCTAGGGGTGTGGTCTAGCCGCTACCATTAACTTATTAGTCTGACACGTGAATACAAAGATTCACGTTTTTCTCAAAAATAAGGTTGTTAATCAATGCATTCATATGCATATAAATAAGTACATAATTGTACTTTTGACCCATTTATTTAATAGTATTTGTTTGCATTGTAGCCCTTATAGCCACGGTAGTCAAAAGGTGGGCGTTGTAAATAACGTTTCAATGAAATTGCAAATATGGTGTCTTATTTTTACGCATATATGAATATTTATATTATATTCCCTACAAGAACAGGTACAGTCATCTGACCGGTAATATGACAGTCATAGCTGAAAAAATTTTGTAGGCTCGCAGAACAAAGTTTCTATCATTTTCTTAAGAGCCTTGTGCAAAAACTCATGTAAACAAATGTATGTGTGTGAGTTTGCATATCTCTGTAACAGATGTACATACGGATTGATTCACTATACATACCGCCCACTCTCATGTCTTTTTCTGAGTAATTGCTGACCATAAATCGATCATAGCTGAAAGTTTTCAGTTATGACTGTAAATCTATCACAAGTGAAAAATTCTATTCCGCAGTAGATCATATAATTTTTATTTCTTTAATAAATTCAAAACTTGTAATTAAAATTAGTTATAATAATATGCATAAATAAAAAAAATTAGTGCAACATAAATATAATTAAATAATATATTATGAAAAAAAAATTTTCACTTAATTCCATTATTGCTCCTTTTAAAAGCCCTGTTGTACTTGTTTCTCCACTTCGAAAATATTTGGGAATTTAAAAATGACTAAATAAAAATGAAAATTAACTAAGAATATAATTTTATTTGAAACTTACGTATATTATATTTGAAAACAACTCCTTCGTTATTTATTTATTTTTTTTAACACAACAATAGTTATTGCACAGAAGCACGCAACACTTTTGGTTTATCGCACGAAATAACAGCTACATAAGTATTCCACAACTTCTCGAAACCTCTATGGAAATGTATGTTGCCTCTGTTTGACGTATACAGAATTTGCTTTTGGAAGAATAGTTAATATTGACAATTTTTTTACTGTTCATTTGACTGTCAGTACTGACATAATAAATGTGAGTGTATTGGTGAATCCATTAGTGCCGTTTCAGACAGGGATGCAAAAGAGTCTGATGTTTTTCAAATTTTCTTTTGGTGTCGCTCTGGGCATTCACACGGTCAAAAAGAGTCCAGCAACTCGAGTCTAGTTTTTCTGCATTCCTTTTCACAAAATTTTCGTAAATACTTGTGCGGTTCGACTGCGCAACACCGCGCAACACTGCGTGCTGCGTATTTCATTTGTATGTTGAGATGATGGTCACACACTTTGCTTGCAATGAATTACCATGAATATGGTAGAACAATATGCATAATACAAGTACCTACCCGCTAAATAGTTTCAAAAAAATACTAAAGACGGGAATTCCCTAATCCACAAGAATGTATTGAATATCCGCTACTAATATTTTCAAGGCCAAATTTATAATAGGAATTTCCTAATCTTTAAGTATTAAAAACTCATAATTTCTTTACTCCGTATTAAAAATTCATAATTTCTTTACTCCATAATCTATATCTTAATTTTCTCCTTATTTACAATTTGTCATAATATTTCTATTATTCTATGCATACATATTTGCATATTACATTCAAAAATAGATAACAGAACTCAAATTTGCGATCGAATTCATTTGAAACCGAGCGCTCTTGCAACCATTCAAAGGATTTGAAAGTGAAAAGGAATGCTGAAAAGGGTAGCAGCGAGCTGTTACGAAAAAGAACACAAAGCGTGCCACCCGAACACGAGTTGCACGGTCCCTTCGTCTTTCCTCGTCGTCCCCTCGCCCACAATAAACTGGTATGAGACTCTTTTGAGTCCCTGTCTGAAACGGCACTTAGCAGTTTCTTGTAGGGTTATTAAGAGCATATATACATATATGTGTATGCGTGAAGCATTTCGGAGTATGTTCAATAAAAATGCGACATTGAAAATTTTCAAGCTCACACGCGCACGCCTTCGAGTAGATTATGCGTGTAAATATAAGTATGTATATACTTGTGTATGTTTACGACATTAAGGGCACCAGGCGTTGGAGCATTATCTACAAGAAGGCATTGAAATTTGTATGCACAAAAAAAGGGAAGCCGACAAAATCGCTGTAACACAAATGCACACATGACTACTAAGCTGTGTAACAACGAGTTGATAATCACAGAAGAATCAAAACGAAATAAATAATGTGAAATAAAGTTCATTTAAATGTACAAGTGGTGCAACTGCTTGTGCAGCGATCATTCCGGTTCATATTCAAGGACACGACTTGCTGTTGCACTTGCGATGCGCTTATATTGATGCAATTTTTCATTATTTACTCTTATATGCTCATGCATTCATCCATACATTCGTCTGTGTAGTAAGATATAATCGGTGATATTATGCGTAGGAGCTATTGAAACTCAGTTATCCGATATGCAAGTTAAGAAGGTGCTTAAATTGAGGTGTCAGAGAATTTGGTCGTGGAGTTTCAAACAAATGTATATACATAAGTACATGTAGGTATATGTACTTATATATGTACGTGCATATACTGCAAAGTAAAAAGGTGTATTCCTGGAAGTATATAACTTTTATTTCAAATAAACCATTGCGACGGCGTCTTGTGAAGACTATTCTGTTGTTTCAATTTTGCACCATTTTCGGTATTATCAGCTTAATTATTAGTTCTCAACTCAGTCTGTAACTGAGTAACTTCTTTTTCAGCATAGTTCATTGACTTTCTCCAGCAGTTATAAGTGTGTAAATAATTATCTAGGTGATCCCACATGCTGTAAAGCTTATTTAACCATTCTCCATGAATTAGCCTTCGATAATTGATATTGAAAACACGAAGACTAATAATGCGTTCGAATAAAAATCCCACCCGACAATAGATTTTTGTGTATGCAAAGGCCCTGGTAAACTACAATCTTGTTCAAAACTATAGCAACTTGTTTACTTTAGTGCTCTTTAAGCTAGAAATGGGTCTCATTGAAGTTAAAAACTAGAGAGGGAACACTCAAACAAGCGTTGTACGTGGAGTTTTAAACCCACATTAAGAAAAGTGCCACGAATATTTTTATTTATGAGTTCTGCTCACCGCCGCCAAACCGCAGACCGAATCAGCTGATACGACCTATCTTATGAGAGCACAATGTAAATGAACACGCACCACCGCATCTACCGTCCGCTTCTACAGACCGTACAGTAGGATAACCACGAAAATTGGATTTTTCCCATAGAAACGAGTGAGCTGATTGCTCTCTTGTTTCCCTAACTTATAAATAAAGCTGTAAATAAAAAAAATAAAATGCTCAAACTTCGGTTGTACCGAAGCTAGCATACTTAAATGAACTTAATTTTGATCGTTCAGTTTGTAGGGTAGCTATATGATATTACCGAATTTCGAGAAGATATTTTGTCAAATAAAAAAGTTTTTCATACAAGAACTTTATTTTTATCGTTCAGTTTGCATGGTAGCTACATGTTATTGTGCTCCGATATCGGCGGTTCCCACAAATGAGCAGTTTTTTTTGGAAAGAAATGGAGGTGCGCAAAATTTTAGAGCAATATCTCAAAAACTAAGGGACGCTAATCATTTATGTTGTATTGTATATATGTCTGTTTTATTGGGTGTTACATACTTCGTTTCAAACTTAATATACCCTGCTTAGGATATAATAATCGTAGCTCCTCCTTACTCAACTAAGTGTTATTTTGTCTCATAAAACGTCGGTTTGGATTGTGCTAGTTATGAAATAATCGCAATATCACAACAGCGGCGTTATCGTATTAGTAGGGAAAGACTAGCATGCTGGTCTAATGATATTACAATAGGAACATTGCTATCTAATTCACTTCTTTCTAATTTCTTTCATTTGGATAATTTTTTCCCACATTGCTAAGCGTTTTATTATTTACTTTATGCATTCCAGCTGAGCACCAAACCTGCATATGTGAAGATAAGACATTTCAAGTAAAATAACCCTACAAGAACAGTGAGAATCATCTGACTGGTCATTTGACAGTCACAGCTGAAAAAATTTGGTCAGCGC